AGCCCCCATCGCCTTCCCTAGAACAAATGGAAAGTCCTTTGTTGACACTTTCAATGTGGTCCTTCGTTAGATCTTTTCCTTGGTAAATTCGTGTTCGTCGAGAAAATGGCTGATCCCGTAACAAGGAATGTGTTAAAAGGGCTCAAGGGGGCCTAATGAGTGATGATGAATTGCTTCAGGGGCTGTCCGATCACTTTCGACAGGTCGGAGGCAATTCTTGACACACAAAAAATAGGTTAAAAGGGTGCTGGAGTATTTTTTGGTGTATCCTCTCCGATGTTCAAGTCAATTTTTTGAGAGAGGGGAATAAGAAAATAATATATGGTTTTTGAGGGATGATTTTGCATACCTTTGCACTATGTTTTCAGGAATTATTTATACCTTCAAAGACCCATAATTACTGATCGTCTCGACAGTAGGTAGAATTCAGACATGGGCTAGTGTGCCCCATATTTTGCATGGGGGAAGCCCCATTATTAAATGCTTGGCCCCCCGAGCACTTAATGCTCTTTCTTGAACGTAGAGACACTTAATGCTCAAGTCTTGGAGCATTTAATGCTCTTTCTTCTAGGCACCCAGAGCCATTGTGGATGTCCCATCAATTGAGGGTTCATTAAATAATTGTCTGAGATAGCCGTATGTCAGCAGGGGTATTTTTGTCCATTCACCTCTCAGCTTGTACGTCATGCCACATGTCTGACTTCCCTTGGTGGAGTGTTTTGTTCATTCTGTTATTCTGACCTCATTGGGAAGGCAAGCCAATGATTTCGTTGACCAGTTCTGAGACTGATGGGCTATAGCTGTTAGTGGCCCTTCCAGAAGAAGAGATGACGTGTCCACAACTGGTCTCTAGTCCAGTACTGTATAGAACGCGTGGATCCATCGGGGAGCAAGGGGTCTCCTCAGTGCCGAGGACACCTGGCGTTATCAGAGAGGTCGTGCCCTCAGTGCTGAGGACACGTGACTTTATATTGGAGAAGAAGTGTCCTTGGTGCCAAGGGCACGTGGCCTTCATCGCAGGGGCGTACACTCGGTGCTGAAGACATGTGGTTGAATCCTACCTTTTCTCAGAAGTGTCCCATCAATATATATACATTGATGGTTCACACCAGATGCAATGTAGAAAACACAGTTCAAATCAATGAAATAATCGTCTAATCTCTCTATCTTCCCCCCCCCCCCTCTCTCTCTCTCTCATTCTCTTCTTCTTTTTCTCTTCTTCCATTCTCTACAATTCTTCATTTCTGTCAGCACTAACTGAACTACTCAACCTCAACTTGTGATTTAACGCATTTACTAGATTCCTTGATACCGCATTGTGTGAGATTAGAAAGCTAAACACGTTCAATTTAGAACTCAATAAAATTTTCAAAACGATTTGTTGCAGTGCACCTCTTGGCTCAAATTAACTTATTTACACCTATAATTCTGAAAGTGAACTACATATTCCTACTCAAGTATGTGTAAGGGCAAGTCAATGCATATTTTCGGAATTAACAATGGAGCAGTGTGTTGGAACCAAATTTCTTACTATTAGAGTTGGTGATTCAAATTCCTTCATACATGCATGTCACTCTTACTATAGCTCCACGTTTTTGCCATGATAAGTTTGACTTTGGGAAACACAAAAATATGAGGGAATCAATCCATAATAAATTCATAGAAGTGATGAAACTAGGGGGTTTTGTATGGAACTAATCAATAGAATGAATGAAGTGGGGATTTTACTTTAAAGCAGGTAGAAACCTTTGCCACACAACAAGCCTATGATCTCAAAACTTGATCAAAATGCGTCAAAAAGTTGGTGTTGTTTGGATGTTAAGGAGAGAAAATGTTCCAGGTCAGTGTTGCACATTAAGTAGAAATCTTGGCAGACCTACTTTGTGGCCTCTCATTCTCACGTCTTCTTGGATTTGGCGTCTGTATTCTCCGAATGTAAATTTCCTATAAATAGAAGGCTCTTTGCAACTTCCAATCAAAGAGTCATAAGAAGGGCAGAGGAAGTAGGCTATTGAGTATCTCTCCCCCTTCCAATTAGGCATAACCTTGTGCTCCACACTCTTGTATACATCATTGCTCCATGCCTGTCGATTTTCAAAACATTGTTGAAAGAAAAAGAAATAGTTACCAAATTATCTTAGAATAGGTTAAACGAATATAACTACATAAATTATGATCTTAATGAGTTTTGGATAATGTGAAAACAATTAGCATATTTAAGGGATAGTGTGACCCGCACGTTTTTCATTTCTTGTTTATAATCAAATAGTCACTGAGTTTTATATTCTGTTTGGTATGATGAAAAAATGAAAGGATTGAAAGTTGGAAGAATAGAAAATTGAAGAAATAAATAAAACATCATATTTAGTAAGGAAAAAAAATAGGAAGGATGAAAAAGTTGATGGATTAACTTTCTTTCCAATTTACCAAAATCAATCATTCCAAAATGGGAAGAAAAGTGGATAGAAAGTTAATTATTTGTGTTGAGATATATATATATATATATATATATATATATATATATATATATATATATATATATATTATATATATATATATATATATATATATATATATATATAAACATATTAATTTCATAGAAAAATACAATGATAAAATATGTATATATATATTTTTAAAAAATTTAAAATTAAAAAATTAAAATTAAAAATTAAAAAATTAAAATTAAAATTAAAAGAAATATTTATTCTATCTTAGTTAGGGGTGAAAATGTTTGACTCAACACGATGACACGACTCGAACTTGACACGAATTTTATGACACAAATTTGATTATAACTCGACACGAACTTGAAAATAACTTGACATACGAACAAAAAATATAAACGACTCATATTCAGTTCAACCCGTAAAACTCAAAATTGACATCTTCAACCAATTTATTTAAAAATAAACACTTTATATATTTTCTCGTTTATATGATAACACGAAATTAACATGAAACTAACATATTTAACTAGTATTATAGACATAAAATGTTAATTATTTGTAACTATTTATTAAACAATGACATAATTATTATATAAAAAATATATTTTACTTATTATTATTATTATATTTATTTAAGTTAATTTTTAGTTTGTAGAAAAAATATGAACATAAATTCAATTAAGTGAAAATATAATATTAGCATTAAATTTTTTATTCAAAGTTTTTGTGGGTTAACACGAATATGAACACGATATGAAAATAAGTAGGTCAACTCGACACGACATAATTAATTAAATGAGTTGAGTTAGATTTGACTAATGTTTGCACAATCCCGCAATACAACACGACTCAATTGTTACCCATAATCTTACTCGGCAAAAAAAAAAAAAAAATTAATCATTTTTGTTTTCCATCCATCCTATCAAATACAATGGAAAGAAAATGTATCATACATTTATATTTTTCTTTCTTGAATGATAGAAAGTGTATTTCTCATACTTTTCATCCTTCCTACCAAACGGATCATTAAGATAATGTAGAACCCCAATACGTAGTTGTACGAGGAATGTGGATATATGAATAATAGAGGTCATAAAGTGAGATAAAGTTCAATACCTTATGTGGGTTTAATTTTACCCGAAAAGAATATAGTTGAAAGACTAGAGGATAGTTAGTAGGTAAATGAGATTGTGGTCGCAATTTAGAGGTGCAAAGTGTAATTTAACTTGTGTAATAATGAATGACAAGCTAATTTTCCCTGGTATATGTTTAGAAGGGCAAAAGCAAAGGCAATGCTAGTTTGACTTGGGACATATCTAGACAAATAAATCACTATTAAACTACTTGCATCACTTGCACCTGAATTTTATGTAATAGAAGGGCGAAAACTTTGGACGTGTTAGTTTATATTTCATTCCTCATTCAATCCGCTGACAACGACCCGTTTGATTAACAGTATATCGTAGCATAAGAAATTACCTGGAAAAGATCTCCAATGTTGACAATTAGAGCGTCTTGGTTGGGTTTGACAGCTACCCATTCGGAGTCTTTCATGAGTTGAAGCCCACCAACTTGATCTTGGTGAAGGATAGTGAGAAAATCACTGTCAGTGTGGGGCACTAAACCGAAAATCTCGGGAGACAATGGACAGGATGGATAGCGATTCAACCGAAGAAAACAAGTGCTTTCATCGCAAATTTCTTCGAAGAATCCCTTTTGGTGTCCCAAGTTCATTACCAGAACCCCAGCAAGTAATCTTGCCAGTTCTTGCATTGCAGCGGCATATTCCACCATCACTTCCCTATGGTCAGCATTTGAAACAGCGTTAGCCACTGTTTTACACAACTCATTCAACTTCGATAAAGGTAAAAGTGAAAATTTTAAGAAAGACCAAAAAATAACTAGTTACTTGAGGTAAATTATTCATAAGGAGGTTGAAATCGAACAAGTTGTGGATCTTAGATTAAAAAATGATGGACTAAGTGGAGAAGTACACCTAATTTAGTACATCATCAACTTATATCTTTTTCAATTTCTAAAACAAATCATGATTTATGATAGAGAATGTTGAACTAATGGAGAATACGTTTAGAAACTAAACGTAGATGTAATGTGAAATTTAAGATTAATGTCTAGTAAATCGAAACACGACACTTGACTAATTTGGTTTGAATATATTCGTAGAGGCTCGCAATTAGAAGTGCGAAAAAGAGTAATGTGATACTTATTAACGACAACATTAGGGGTAGAGGTAGACATAAGTTAATATTTAGTAAAGATACTAATATGATTGCCTGTATTGTAAAGGAGGAACACGTGATTTCAAATAAATCGTCGGAACAAAATTCATGCAGCCAACTCAAGTTTGGTTAGGTGAGTTGAATTCTTATTTTTCATTTGGCACAGACAAAAGGACTCGATTTGTACAAAGTTAATAACGAAAAGAAGAAGAAAAGGTGTTTGGTCAATTAAAAAAGAAAAATAAAAGCAAGAAAGAAAGAAAGACGAGGAAGAGGTGAGTGTGAGAAGACCAGAAAATAATTGACATGACTAACATCCACTCGAAGAAAAAGAATAGTACCTTAAAGAATTGAATTCTCCAAAACAAGCTTCCTCTGACATCTTTGTTAGGGGAATATGGAAAGCCTCAGACCATGAGAACTGCTTTGGACAAGTAGCTGCTGGATTTCCCCATCTGTATGAATTGTTCAAGAGCCCACAATTTGCCTTCTTCTCAAAGGGTCCTTTAAACAATTTCACTTGCTCTCTCCTCATCTTCCTGAGGATTTCAAGGCTTATTCCATGGTTCACTACTTGAAAGAAACCCCATTCTGATGAAGCTCTACATATAGCTTGTGCACAAGCCATTCTCTCCTCTTCATAATCACTTCTCAGATTACTGAGGTCTATTAATGGCAATTCACACTCCTCCATGACTTCATTTTGATGATCATTGCCCTGAACTGCAAAACTTACACCTGATTGTCGGAGAAGTTCTTCATAGTTGTGGAGGAGAGGTGGGCTTGATTCTACCATTTTTCTGTGGTGATCGATGATACAGAGAGTTTGCAGTGTGTGAAAGAGAAATGAGGGTAGAGTGGAATTGTAGGACCAGAAGGGTATTTATAAGGTTGGGGAGGTGGGTTTGGACAAAGAGTACAAGGAGAAGAAAACAAGAGGGAAAGTCCCAAATGGTGACAATTGTCGCAATGAGAGTTTTCTCTGGGTGCTTGTCCATTAGAGACCAAGTCCACGCAGATTCTCTAAATTATTGAACGCAGAAAGTTGGCAAAAGTGGAGAGAAAATGATAAAAAGGATGGAACAACACCTAACTTCACCTTTGACTTTGTGAAATGAAAAGGGTGATTCAAAGGTTAGGATACCTCTAGCAATTCTACACGCCATGTATGAATTTTTCACCATGTTAACAAATTTTAGTTTAGTATTACTCATAGTTGTCAAACCGTGTATCGGAAGACATATCATTTTTTAAAAATAGTGTATCGTGTATTGTAAGATACGCACAATTTTAATTTATTAATAATTATTAATAAAATATATGTATATACCTTTGTAAAAAAATCATAAACTTATAATAAGATAACATTTCATTAATATTCCACAAACTGTTTAACTAACATTGTTTAGTAATATCAAAATGCAAAGACCTTTAATTCAAACTTCTAACATCAACTACTTGAACAACCTTAATATTAATTAGGAATTTTGAATTCAATTGAACAACATTAACAACATATTTTATTTATTTATTTTTTAAACTATAACCACTAAAACGACGTTGTTTTACTAGCTAGTGATTTAAAAATAAGTCATAGGGTAAAACGATGTTATTTCAACCCCAAAAATTTTTTAAAAAAATAGAATCGTCACGTATTGTATGTATCGGGACGTATCGTACAATACGGTGCAAAAACAATATAAATGCACAATACGTATAGTTTCTCAGGTGTATCTTAGCGTATCGTATAATACGTATCGCTTATTGTACGATAGTAATAACTATGGTCTTACTAGAATTATTGGGAGTAAAAAGGATGTAAAAACTGAATGCAGAGTCCTGTACATATAGACAAATAAGAGTGCAACTGACCAAAACACCCATCTGGTCTAGTAAGACATAAAACTATAGTAAGAGCAAAATAGGTAAAAAAAAAAAAAAAAAAATACTAATAACTAAGCTATAACTCCAACCCTCCCCCTTAAGCTAGGCACAAAGATGTCAATTAAGTTAAGCTTGACAATTGAGTCTCAGAGAATGGATAGAGTGACAAGTTTTGTGAAAACATCCACAACTTGATCACTAGTCCTCACAAAACGATGGGATAACAATACCACAACTGACCTTTCTCCCGAAGAAAGTGAACATCGATTTCTATATGCCTCATTCTCTCATATAATACAGAGTCAGAAACAAGCTGAATAGCAGATCGAAAATCACAATATAATATAGATGAAAAATTTATTGGAAATCCTAACTTGACAATAATAGATCGTAGCCAGATAATCTCATATGTGTCAAGCGCCAGTTCCGATACTCTACCTTTACTAACAGATAAGATGAGTCCCTCGAGCTCCCCCATAATCTGAATTTGAATAACAGGTTAGAGAATTAGTTTGAAACCCCGATGCAAGTAACAACTCAAGTCCAAGATAAGACATGAGGTACCAAAGAATATAATATACAACATCCAAATGAGACTGAAATGGCTTTTGCATGAATTGACTAACCCGACATACGGCAAATGAAATGTCTACCCTAGTGTTGGCTAGGTACATAAGCCTACCTACCAACCTCTGATAAAAAATTGGATCTCTCAACTCCTCGCCTTCAATAGTATGGTTCAGGTTTGGAATCATAGGTGATGATGCCGATTTGCACTCCAACATTCCAGTGTTCGAGAGAAAATCCAAAACGTACTTCTTCTAAAAGAAAACATGTCACGCCCCAAATTTCATAAAAGCGTGATTAAAAAAAATTACTTTGTTTATTCCAAAAATACATGTCAATTTGTTGTAAAAACATCTAGAAAAGTATCTCTTTAGTTTAAATAAATCATTTTTTTTTTAAAATTTCGGCAGAGTTTTCTATGAAAATTAGGTATCCAGATAATTGGCGAGAGCTACATGTGAGAGCATTAAACATAATAATTATATCTAACTATTCATTCACATCATATCAATTATATTCATCTCTTCTCATGATATCCACAAATAAGTCATTACCGTCCAATACTGAGGGTGGCAAATGGAGGCTGACGAAGTCCTCTCAAACCCAGGTTATAATCTAATTATCCAAAATTCTTCATCATGAACATAATATACAGAATATCTAAAATCTTTTTAAGTAAATCATTTAAAAGGTCTCAATCTATACATATTCCCTTAAATTAACCAAGATATCAATCACTTACAAATCCTCAATAATATACATCATCGGACATTGTTCTTTACATACTCTAACTAAATATATAAAGATCATAACAACTATCTTCTGCCTTGATACTCCTACTATGCAGTCCACCAACATATGCCCATAACTGCAAATGTTAAATGATAGGGGTGAGCAACCACACGCTCAATAGGATAATCCTTTTCTCAAGCATTTACAAAGTTTTAAATATCAACATTTCACAAACCATACAAATAAGTAATGAAAACTTTCTATAATTTAGTATATGAACAAGATAATAAGTAGAACATTTATAAAAATTCCCGACACATCATCATTAGAATATACAATGTATAAATTAAAGGTTTATACATTTTAAGTCAAACCATCATAGCAAATATCACACATGTCTCGCATACAGACAATATAATCAATCACATCGGTTTACCCATGTACCATCCCCGGAAACTTTTTGGGTCTTGCACTCTAGGGTCTCATTGCCCTTCTGGATTTTTAAGGAAAACGTGTAGGGCACAACTTGTGACACCACATAGGTCATCACCGAAAACCATTACCATAACCAATCCCCCTTAGGACTAGTAGACGCCTTGACAACCTACTCAATAAGCCACAACTGTCTACTAACTCTCTGTCTGTCCATATCGAGCATACATTTTCCCAAAATTATTATTTTTCATATCCATAAATCCTTTTGAAAATACATGTCATAGCCTTGACATTTATCAAATATGTAGTAGGCTCAAATCTCAAAAGTTATATTTTCAAAGCAACATAACTATTTCCAAGAGAATAAGTCATATATATTATGTACAAAATCATAGCATACTTCAAAACACCCAAATTATAGGTTTAATCAAATACTCATAGCTAAAATCAAACTAGAGTTCCAAATCCACAACACTAAAATTATTTCCATTTCCAAAAGAATAGATCATATTATGTACAACATCATAACATACTTCAAAACCCACAAATCATAGGTTTAATCAAATACTCACAACTAACATTAAACTAGAGTTTCCAACCCACAACACTAAAATTAATTCCAATTCCAAGGGAATAAGTCATATATATTATGTACAAGATCATAGCATACTTCAAAATCCTAAATCATAGGTTTTATCAAATACCTATAACTAAAATCAGACTAGGGTTTCAAACCCATAACACTAAATTTATTTTTATGCATGAGTTCACAATTTATGGCATACTCAACACTAAATCAAGGTTTATAAACAAGTATTTTGCCATCAAATACATAGTAAGATTTAGTTAAAGAAAATACATGAGATGCACAATGTAAATGGAAGAGAGAGGAAAATTTCACCTTGAAATCAAGAATTACAAGCAAAACTCAAGCTTTAGAGACCTTTCTTATTCTCTTTTCTCTTTTCTCTTTTCTTTATCTTCTCTTAAGGTTCTAAGAGGTATTGGGTGAGAGTGGAATGAAAGAATGGAAGAAAAGTTGCTGAAATTTGGGATTTAAACCCAGTAGTCCCAAAATTTACTTTTCATGGGCCAAAAAAAATATATTTTTCTCCGAAATTACGGTTTTGCCACTAAACATCTTCAATTTGATCCCTATGACTAGCCTAAGGTCTTTCGATGTTCCGGGTTCATTTTTAATGTTATTTTAAACTAAAAATATTTATTTTTATGATTTATCTCAAAATCAAAGTCAATTTTCACCCAAAACACTAAAGTTACCATTTTACCCCTTCGAACCGCTATATGAACTAAACGTTTATTCTAAGGTTTTCGGACCTCCCAGATTCAATGGTAATGTTATTTTGATCTAAAAAAATTAATATATTTATTTAGGTACTCTTATCAACCTCAAACAACTCAAAAATTAAATTTGACTCAAAAGTCAATACCTTATAACTCAAACTTATGCGACTATTCCTTTAACAACGATTCAAAGTTTCTCTCATCATTTTAAAGATACTATCAAGTTAAATATTATTTATATGAAATATGAAATATGGGATCTCACAGAACAATACCCTTATTACTACGGGCAACCTCAATTCTAAGAAAGTAACTCAAAAATTTAAAGTGTTTCACATTAAATGCCTTCCCAATATCAACCTTGACTTGTGCAATCCCCACTAATAATAATATCATTCACATATACCAAGAGAATGACACATTGCCCAGTAATAGTCTATTGAATGAAGCTTGTATGATCAGAAAGACATTTGGTGAGCCGAAACGTATAATCACA